CCTCAGGTTCCAATATGGCTCACCTCTGCACTTTCTGTGATTCTCATTTCCTCTCATTCCGATGAAAACACAGGTGTGAGTGCACATAATTGGATGTGCAAGAGAAAAACATTTGTTTCTGATTGCAACACTGTTCACTGGGGGAGCAGTGTCAGGTGAGCACCCAGGACTCAGGTCAGAGTTGCAGCCATCCAAGAACTAGCAGGGAGCCACTCATCTGACCCTGCCCCCTGAGAATGGCTGTTCCCAAAGGGACTGTTCCCAAAGGCCAAGAAAGAGGCTCTTGTACCAGCACAGCAGTACTGTCCTCTCTGGAGACCATTGCTGTTCTGTACACAGAAATGTTGGAGCCATATACAGGGTTTTCCCCAGTATCCTTTCCTCTCTGCAGATGCAAGACAGGATCCCTCCCACGAAGCAGTAAAATCCTTTACTTCCTGTCCCACCAAAACATCCCTGTCATAATAAAATCCTCAGACAAACTTTATGGATCATTCTCTATCATTCCAGGAGCAAATGTGGGGAGAAGGAACAAAGTGAGCTATTTTTCTTAGCTGAGCAGTGAGGTAACATGATAAATAGTGACAAGAAAGGATCTGTGTTCTGAGGGACGTTTAATGGGTTTGTGAGGACCACCCCCTCTACCGCCACTATCCCCCAAGAGGTGGTGTAGGTGAAGGAGGAGGCAGCTCATTAGTGCTGTTAGTCTGTCAGACTGCTGTCAGGACTGCAGTTCTCCTCTGTGAATATGGCAGGGGGAGAATGACAAAGAAGGGACGCTTCTTACTTTAAGTGAACGGGAAGGTACTTTTGAAATGAAGATTAATACTTTATTTTAAAAAATGATGGAAAGGGACCATTCTTTAACTGAATACCAATACTGCCTAACAGTTGTGGCCAGCCCAGCCCCTGCAAACCTGATGATGTTGAGAAAGCAGGCAGGGCTGACGTCCAATGATCCTGAAGGTGATAGTCCACTGCTCCTGGTGCCTTGGCATCCCCGTATCCCACATGCAGTCCCAACATCCATCTTTAGTCATCTTCATTGGCCTTTGCTGAAACATTGAGGAGTAAGTTTAGCAAATGATCTTTTTATTTTTCCATTTTACTAGAACATTTTTTTATGTTTATTTTTGAGAGAGAGAGAGAGTGTGTGTGTGTGTGTGAGAGAGAGAGAGAGAGAGCGGGGGGAAGGGCGGGGGAGCACAGAATCCAAAGCAGGCTGTAGGCTCTGAGCTGTCAGTTCAGATCCTGATATGGGGCTCAGACCCACAAACTGAGATCATGACCTGAGCCAAAGTTGGACGCTTAACCTACTGAGCCACCCAGGCACCCCAGAAGATTCTTGATTAATAAGAATTTTAAGGAATCAAGGGGCACCTAGATGGCTCGGTTGGTTGAGTGTCTGATTCTTGATATTGGCTCAGGCCATGATCTCGTGGTCCTGAGATCAAGCCCCTTGTCATGCTCCAGGCTGACAGCAGAGAGCCTGCTTGGGATTTTCTCTCTCCCTCTCTCTCTCTGCCCTTCCCCTGCTCTTTCTCAAAACAAACAAACAAACAAACATTAAAAAATAATTTTAAGGAATCTTGAAAGAGAATAATATACCAGACATTTGTAATCAGCATTCAGTAGATATTCTGTGGCCGAAGATCGTATGAAGTACCCTGTTTTAATAGGTTTTAATACTCTATACCTGGAGATCCTGTGCAGTGTATCTTCTGAATCTGGGGATATCCATCCACATACCAAATGGTGAGTTCAAAACAGTTAAACAGCCAAACTCTAAGGTTACCTAACTGGCTGGCTTCATCATCAGTGTATTTGGATTAGAATATGGAAATGAGAATCTGAAAATATTCTCAGAGGATAGACCTTGCTTAATATATGGGGATCTGTGCTCTAGATATTCTCTGTTTGGAATATTTTTCCCCAGATTTCCCTTAGGTTTGCCTACTGTGGTAAGCAGAATAATGATCCCTCCATCCCATATGTCCACCTCTTTTTTTTTTTTTTTTAATTTTTTTTTTAATGTTTTATTTATTTTTAGGAGAAAGAGAGAGACAGCATGAGCAGGGAGGGTCAGAGAGAGAGGGAGTCACAGACTGAAACAGGCTCCAGGCTCTGAGCTGGCAGTCAGCACAGAGCCCGACGCGGGGCTCGAACCCACGATCCGCGAGATCATGACCTGAGCGAAAGTCGGACGCTTAACCGACTAAGCCACCCGGGCGCCCCCCCATATGTCCACCTCTTAATGCCTACAAATCTGCGAATATGTTAGATTTCATGGCAAGGGGAAATAAAGTTGCAGGTGGAATTAAGGTTGCTAAACAGGTGATTCTGTGATGGAGAGATTACCTGGATTATCCATATACGCCCAATGTAATCAACAAGGGTCTTTATAATTAGAAGAGGAAAGCAGAAAAGATAGATCCAATGTAAGAAAAACAGTCTGATGTTGCTGGCTTTGAAGATGGAGGAATGGGGACACAAGTCAAGGAATGTGATCAGCTGGAAAAGGCAAAAACAAAACAAAACAAAAACACCCTGATTCTCTCTTAGAGCCTCTAGAAGGAATGCAGCCATACTAACACCTAGCATGTAGATTAGGAAGACCCATTTTGGACTTCTGAGCTCAAAAACTGTATGATAACAAGTTTGTGTGTGAGTGTGTGTGTGTGTGTGTGTTTTAAGCCACTGTTTGTGGTAGTTTGTTACAGCAGCAATAGGAAACTAATATATCTTCTCATTTGATCTAAGCTCAAATATCTTCTTAAAGAGACATTTTTTTTAATTTTTACTTATTTTTGAGAGAGAGAGAGAGAGAGCGAGAGCACATGAGCAAGGAAAGGAGCAGAGAGAGAGGGAGACACAGAATCTGAAGCAGGTTCCAGGCTCTGAGCTGTCAGCACAGAGCCCAGTGCAGGGCTCTAACTCACGAACCCTGAGATCATGACCTCAGCTAAAGTCAGACACTTAACCATCTGAGCCACCCAGGTGCCCCTTAAAGAGACATTTCTTTTTTTCCTTTCTTTCCTAAATAGTTTATTGTCAAGTTGGTTTCCATATAAAACCCAGTGCTCATCCCAACACGTGCCCTCCTCCATGCCTATCACCCTCCTTTCCTTCTCTCCCACCCCCATCAGCCCTCAGTTTGTTCTCAGCATTCAGGAGTCTCTCATGGTTTGCCTCCCTCTCTCTCCCCAACTATTTTTCCCCTTCTCCTCCCCCACGGTCCTCCGTTAAGTCCCTCCTAATCCACCTATACGTGAAAACATATGGTATCTGTCCTTCTCTGCCTGACTTATTTCACTCAGCATAACACCCTCAAGTTCCATCCACATTGCTACAAATGGCCAGATTTCATTCTTTCTCTTTGCCATGTAGTATTCCATTGTATAGATAAACCTCATCTTTAAAGAGACATTTCTTTTTATTAATTTTTTTAGTGTTTTATTTATTTCTGAGAGAGAGAGAGCATGTGCAGGGGAGGGTCAGAGAGAGAGGGAGACACAGAATCTGAAACAGGCGCCAGGCTCTGAGCTAGCTGTCAGCACAGAGTCCGACGTGGGGCTCGAACCCACAAACCATGAGATCATGACCTGAGCCGAAGTCGGACGATCAACAGACTGAGCCATCCAGGAACCCCTAAAGAGACATTTCTTAACATCTCACACCTGCTAAGGTATCTGACCACACACGTTCATTTTTATTTGATTATAATTATCTAAAGATGGTTTTTTAATGTTTATTTTTGAGAAGGAGAAAGAGAGAGGGGGAGAGACAGACACCAGCAGGGGAGGGGCAGAGAGAGGAGACACAGAATCCAAAGCAGGCTCCAGGCTCTGAGCTGTCAGCACAGAGCCCAATGCAGGGCTCCAATTCAAGACTGTGAGATCATCATGACCTGAGCCGAAGTGGGACCCTTAACCAACTGAGCCATCCAGGCACTCCTGATTATAATTATCTAAAATTATTTTTGTTTATTCCTTTTCCTTTTCACAAGAATGTAAATTCTAGGAGGGTAGGGACTTTGTTGGTCTTTTGACCTGTGTATCTCCTTTGCTTAGGATACCACTACATGATAGGCATCCTTTGTTGTATGAATGAGCCTTAAGCTAAGGACATAACACTCCTGCCACTGCTGAATCACAACTAGAGGGTAGCTGTTAGAAGAGTCCCATGCCTGGGTAGGTCCTATGTTGCAAGGAACTGTGCAATAGAAAACAGGAGTAGAAACAAATACCAAATGGGAATTAACAAATAAGCAATCAGTTGCTTAATTTTAGCTAATTTAGAAAGCTTGAAGAGTAAGTACTGTCCGTGGGCAACTGCAGCCTAATGAGTCCTCTGTGATTGCCAAGAAGTAACCAGTTTGGGAAGACCAGAAAGGTGTGAAAAGATATATGATTAACTCAAGTTACCTATATATTGTGTAATCACAGTTCTTACGAGATCACACACAAAAATGCCTCATAACGACCAAGGGACAAATGAGTAAAACAGGACAGATTATTTTCTTTTTATGTTGACAAGTCAGTTCTCAAGTGGAAATTCTTAAGATTATCAGGTTTAGCCCAAGCTTGAGTTCTGATAATCTTAGAAGTTTTTTCACTCTTAAATAGCTTATTAACAGAGTTCCTTATTTAATAGTTTCTAAAAAGACACCCTCAGAAAGGGCTGTCAGCAGCCCAGCGGGTAAGGCTTACCCCTTCCCCCTGCCCTGGTGTCAACGCCCTGGAAAAGGCCTTCAGAATCTAGCACGCCTAAGAGCCACGCCCAGATCCAAAGGCTCCCACCCGCCTCTGCACTGTAGACTCAGCGGGACACGGCCCGGAGTAAATTTCAGAGCTGCCAGAGGACTCTACGCTCAGCCAGCCAATGGCCAGAGAACGGGGGCGGGACCTCGGGGTATCCGGCCAATAGGAATGCGGCGGGGCAGAAGGGCGACCCCGCTCCATGGCGGTGGGGGTTCGTAGCCCCAGCCCCAGCCCCGGGCCATGTGGGACCCTCCGGGTGCTGAGGCGTGCTTGGCGGCGCTCGGAGCCTTGTTCTTATTGCTGTTCTTCGCGTTTGGGATCCGCCAGCTGCTGAAGCAGAGGCGGCCCAGTGGCTTCCCTCCCGGGCCGTCGGGGCTGCCATTTATAGGCAACATCTACTCACTGGCCGCCTCGGGCGAGCTGCCCCACGTCTACATGAGAAAGCAGAGCCAGGTGTACGGCGAGGTACAGCCCGACGGGCTACGGGCAGGGAGGGCCCGGGCCTTCCTCTGGGGCGGACTGGACGGCGGCTCCTGGGCCCTAGCTGTCGGGACACCACCCCCCAACCCCATGTGCTAATGACTTGAAGGGAAACCCCGCCCAGCGAGGGTCCCCACCCTTCCAAAGCCCAGCAGGATCCAGCTGAGTCCTGCACCCAGCATGGGCGCGGAGGAGGTGCTCTCACGCCTGCGCCTGCGGTCCTCGGGGTCTCCGAAGGCGCCTAGGTGGTGCTCTGCACCTGCGCAGTGGGGCCACAGCCTTTTTGTTTTGTTTTGTTTTGTTTTGTTTTTGGTCAGTTCACAGGAGTTAGGCGTTTGTTTGGTAATGCCCATGGCTTCTGGCGAAAAGGAGGCATTTTCTAAATTCTAGGTCCAGATTAATGTTTTTAATAGAAGTTCGTGAACGTTTGCCTCTGAGGATGCCTGGTCCAGGCGTCTGCTGTGGGGATAAGCGCAGGTGAAGGCCCTTGGCCAAGATGGGCTCTGGAGAATAATTGCGAAAGCAAATGAATTTGTGACTTGGTGCGGAATCCTGCAGCGCAGAGTGAGCAGTGTCGCCCTGAACAGCCAGGAGTATCCTCATAGCAAACACTGAGACTGCACCGCTGTGGGCCGGCTTCCCTTCCAAGGTGCCCTCAGGTAAACTCAAGACTACCGGGCTGAGCTACTTCCGGTCTCTCCCACTCCTAAGAGAAGGAAAGTTCGGCTTAGAAATGCTGAGTGAATTGCAGACAGCTGCTAGGCTGCTCCCTGCATGGGACAAGGCCAGGAATCAAACTTGTGATTGGCAGGGGTGCTGACCTCAGAAGGAGACAGAAATTTCCAGAGCATTGGCACTGGCTGAGCTCACCTGCTTTGTTTTGAATCCATACATTCCGATGCGGCAGCAAGCCCGGCTGTGCTAGGCGCTGGGGATGAGGTGAGGAAGGCAGACACGGCCCGATGTCAGGGAGTTCGAGCCCAGGGAGAGAGCAAATCTGGATATCGACCACAATAGCATTGTGAATGCTTAGAAGGAGAAGTAGAGCATTGCTGTTTGGCAGTGTTTCAGGTTGGGGCTTAAATCCTTATCTGAACCAGATAAGGTAATTCTACAAGAATTACCCTAGATTTTTGTATCTCGCTAACAGTTAACGTTGTTAAAGGGAAAGTGGACTTAGGTAAAGCAAATGTACGTAATTCTTACATTTCAGCCTTCCAGTTCTCCAGGAATTGAGTGTATTTCTTTGATTTCCATTCAATGTTTATGAGCTCTGGTATGTGGGTACAAAGCATCATGAATTTTTTTTTAACTATTTATTTTGAGAGAGAAAAAGAACACTCTCAGTGCAGAACCCAGTGTGGAGCTCAAACCTACCAACCATGAGATCATGACCTGAGTGGAAACCAAGAGTCAGACCCTCAACTCACTGAGCCAGCCAGACACCCCTATTCTAGAGAAATTATGAGATGTGTAAGGAAGCGTGAGATTAGCAGTTGAGTCCTCTTCTTTCAGGTAAAACTGGACTTTTACTTCTCTGAATTTAAATTTTTCCTCTTGTGTAATGACAATAATAACTAGAAACAGTCAACTGCTATTGAAATGTTCTTGATTATAAATTGCAGAACAATTAGGTCTACAACTTAAAAAGTATATTTAAGCTAATTATGTGAACTACTGTCTTGCAGAATAGGAAATTATTTTTCATATATAAATATTTGAACTGATACGAACACTGAATTTAAAATGGACATTCTTAACTTGACAATAAACTTTTAAAAAATTATGGAAACCAACTTGACAATAAACTATTAAAAAGTAAAATAAAATAAAATAAAATGGACATTCTTTTCCAGAAGGAGGTAACCTGAGTTTCCTATCAAAATAGATTACACATTATACAAGACTGTCATTTTGGGATAAGTAGATCTGGTTCAGTGGATTTAAGAATTTGGCATGAGTAATTAGTTTTATTGCTGTTACAACTATTTGAGGTGACCATGGTTCTTTACAAAGGGGGCAATTTACTGGAAGTGGTAAAATCAAGTAGTGCTATTAAGTACAGGAAGAACAGAGGAGAAGAGAAAGGAGCAAAAATGAAAAGGATGTATGCACTGAATGTAGGTAACTGTGTGCCTGATTTTGCCTCACACTTAAGTTGAAAACTACCTAACATATTGAAACCACACCTAACATACTAGTTCTTTAAGCTGTGACAGCATTTGATCCTTTTTAAGTTTTTTTTTTTTTAATGTTTTATTTATTTCTGAGAGAGAGAGAGACAGCGTGAGCAGGGGAGGGTCAGAGAGAGAAGGAGACACAGAATCTGAAGCAGGCTCCAGGCTCTGAGCTAGCTGTCAGCACAGAGCCCAAAGCGGGGCTCGAACCCCCGAACCGTGAGATGATGCCCTGAGCAGAAGTCAGACGCTTAACCGACTGAGCCCCCGAGGCGCCCCTCAGTTTATTTATTTATTTTGAGAGAGACAGAGACACTTGGGAGGGGCAGAGAGAGGCAGAGACAGAGAATCCCAAGCAGGCTCCGTACTGTCAGCACAGAACCCAACTTGGGGCTTGAACTCAACTGAACTATGAGATCATGACCTGAGCCAAAACCAGGAGTTGGACACTTAACTGACTGAGCCACCAGGGTGCCCCTGATCCTTTTTGTTTTTTAATTGTAGTTGTAGTGATTCAGCAACTTTGTGCACTATGCCCGTCTCACCACCAGTGTGGCTACCATCTGTTACCATACAGTGCTATTATAGTACCATATTCCCTATGTTGTATCTTTTATTCCCATGACTTATTCATTCCATAACTGGCAGCTTGTACCTCCCACTCATCTTCACGCATTTTGTCCATCCTCTCTGGCAACCACCAGTTCTATGTATTTATGGGTCTGTTTCTGCTTTTGTCTTTGTTTTTAGATTCTACATATAAAGAAAATCATATGGTATTTGTCTTACTTAGCACAATAGCCTCTGTGTTCATTCATGTCCCAGATAGCAAGATCTCATCTTTTTTATGGTTGAGTAATAATAATGTATACATTATATCACATCTTCATATTCTCATATATTGATGGACATTTAGGTTGCTTCCGTATCTTGGCTATTGTAAATAATGCTGTCAAAAACATAGCAGTGCATATATCTTTTTGAAATAGTGTTTTCAATTTCTTTGGACAAATACCCAAGAGAAAATTATATGAACCCACACTGAATTGTATGGTATTTCTAATGTCAATTTTTGGAGGAACCTTCATACTGTTTTCCACAGTAGCTGCACCAATTTACATTCCTACTAACGGTGTACAGGGGTTCCTTTTCTCCACATCCTTACTAATATTTGTTATTTGTCTTTTTTGATACTAGCCATTCTGACAGGTATAAAGTGATATCCATTGTGGTTTTGATATGCATTTCTCTGATGATTAGTGATGTTGAGCATCTTTTCATGTGTCTTATGACGTGTGTGTCTTATGTGGAAAAATGCCTATTCGGGTCCTCTGCCCATTTTTAATTGGATTATTTGTTTTTCTGGTGTTGAGTTGTATAATTTCTTTATCCATTTTGGATATCAAACCCTTATTGGATATATAATTTGCAGATACCTTCTCCCATTCAGTAGGTTGCCTTGTCAGGGTTTTGTTTTGTTTTGTTTTGTTTTGTTTTTTTTTAATGGTTTCCTTTGCTGTGTAAAAGTTTTTATTTTGATGTAGTCCCAATAGTTTATTTTTGCTTTTGTCTCCCTTGCCTGAGGAACATATCCATAAGTGAATTGCTAAGGGAAATAACCAAGAGATTACTCCCTATGCTCCCTTCTAGGATTTTTATGATTTTAGGATACACATTTTAGGTCTTTAATCTACTTTATTTTTGTATCTGGTGTGAGAAAGTGGTCCAGTTTCATTCTTTGCTTGCATTGGTCCAGTTTTCCCAATACCATTTGTTAAAGAGACTGTCTTTGTTCTCATTGTATATGCTTGCCTCCTTTGTTGTAGATTAATTGACTAAGTAATCATGAGTTTACTTCTAGGCTCTCTTTACTGTTCCATTAATCTATGTGTCTGGGTTTTGTTTGTGTGTTTGTTTTTGCCAGGATCACAGTATTTTGATTATTATATCTTTGTAGTGTATCTTGAAATCTAGGATTGTGATACCTCGAGATTTGTTTTTGTTTTTCAAGATTGCTTTGCCTACTTGGAGTTTTTTGTGGTTCCATACAAATTTAGGATTATTTGTTCTAGGATTTCTAATTCTGTGAAAAATGCTGTTGTTATTTTGATAGGGATTACATTAAATCTTTAGATTGTTTTGGATAGTATGGACATCTAAACAGTATTGGTTCTTCCAGTCCATTAGCATGGAATATCTTTCCATTTGTTTGTGTCATTTTTCAATCTTTTTTATAAGTGTTTTATAGATTTCAGAGTACAAGTTTTTCACCTCCTTGGTTAAGTTTATTCCTAGGTATTTTATTATTTTGGGTGCTATTATAAGTGGAATTATTTTATTAATTTCTTTTCCTTTTACTTCATTATGGTGGAATGAAATGCAACAGATTTCTGTATATTAATTTTATATCCTACAACTTTACTTAAGCATCTGTTACATCTAATAGTGTTTTGGTGGAGTCTTTAGGATTTTTTTTATGTATAGTATAGTGTCATCAATAAATAGTTTTACTTCTTCCTGCCAGTTTTGGTAACTTTTATTATTTTTCTTGTTTGATTATTGTGAATAGGACTCCAATATTATGTTGAATAAAAGTGGTGACAGTGGATAGCCTTGTCTTGTTCATGATCTTAGAGAAAAAACTCTTAATTTTTCACCGTTGTGTATGATGTTAGCTGTGGGTTTGTCATATATGGACTCTATTATATGAGATATGTTCCCTCTAAACCCACTTTGTTGAAAGTTTTCATTATGAATAGATGTTGACTTTTTTCAAATGCTTTTTCTGTATAAGATTATCATTTCATT